CCTCAGACCAATACTTTTTGAGTTATGTAAAAAAAACTACAGGGGGGGGTCAAATTGACCCCCCCCCAGCGGGAATAGGGTTAATTATACTTTCTTAATTCAATTTAAATTTACTTTATTGTACTGACTTATATACCGCTTGATTATTACTTTATTGTTCCGACTAAAATATATGTTAAAAATTTTAAAATTAAAACTAATAATAAATAGAAAAATCTCGTCAAAATAATGATGATTGCGATTTATTTGTTTACATCGACAATATTTTATCTAAGTTTCATTTTCAAGTTTTTCTATAGTCATCTAACAAAAATGTTACATAAATTCTAAGATAAAAGGTGAACAAATATTTGTTCACATTTTTTATGTATCCCTTGGTCTGAAGAATTACTCAGATATATATATTGAAAGAGACCTTCTTTAATGTTCCGGTATATAATATATATATATATATCTTACTGTAATTTATCTCTTTCATCTTAAAAGAAAACTTTGCCAGATTTTTTTATTTCAAGAAAACCTAACTTGAGCTTCCGTCGTAATTTTAGATAACCCTCCATTTACAAGAGGGACATGTCAATTTACCACCATTTACAAGAGGGACATGTCCATTTACCTCCATTTACAAAAGAGACATGTCCATTTACCTCCACTTACAAGAGGGACATGTAACTTTCCCAGTGGAACTCTTCACACCGGACTAACCAGAGTGAGCAGCATTCGGTTTCTTCTATTTGAAATCAAACGTGTTTTGTTCTTTAATTCAATAATCATTTAATTTACGGATTTGTTTATGTTATACATTTTCATTCAAAATACATATGCCAACAAAAAAGTATCTTATAAAAAAGGCTAACAAATTATATTTAATGGGTCAAATTGTTATCGAAAGTCACAGCTTTCTGGAATATTGACAGAACCGTTAAATCCAAGTGTCTTAAAACATGAAAATGTCGTTATTCTGATTTGAGGTTTTTAATTCTGATAATTTCTTCATTTTTCCTAAAGCAAGAAAAGCGCAAATTATCATACAGAAAACCGACAAATAAAAATAAACAGTTTTCAAAAAGATAAAACATGGATATCTAGAGGAACTACTAGAGAACGAAGCTGATCTTGGATAGGTAAGAATCTGTATAAATTAGAGGAAAATGACGGTTAAAAAGGTTGGTTTCAACACAGGTTTTAAAGTTGCTAACTAGATAGTTTTATAGTTAAATAACCTGATAGTATAGTATAGAGGTAGTTGAATTTAACACTGTATTTTACACAATCAATTTTCTTATCTGCAAAATAGATCTTTAAAAATTGAATCTTAATTATTGGTCTGACAAGAACCCGACAATTTAGTTCAATAATAATTTCTATTCTGTGGCCCCGAGCTCCCCTCATTATATTAGGTGTAAAAACCTAAAATCTCTCTGGTTCTCCATACAGGTCCCTTTTTTGGAAACCGATTAATTAAGAATGTTTGTAAGTGGGGGGGGGGGAGGAATGGTTGAATATATTAAGCAACCCCTGCTGGGGTTAAAAGGCACAGAGCTCTAGGCAGTAGGCAGCTATGATAATTGTGCATTAATTTTAAAGGAATGGGTCGACTTAAAAGTGTCTTAACACCACTATGTTTCAATAGAAGTAAATATTTCCATTTACTGTTATAGCGCCAATTTAAGGATTTATCTCTAATTGGATAATGAGATAGATAGAAAGATATATGTTACCGCCATGCAATTTCTATTGGTTCAGAATAGACAACAAACATATAACTGAACCCTGATTGGATCAGGCGCTAATGGACTCGGCATACTAGAGTGACACTTTGGCCTTTGGTTTTGCTCACGTATACATTTGTAATTAAAGAAATTGAGTCTTTGTCACAAACTCTGATTTTCTAATACCTTTATCTTTGCAATCCAATTTCGTATACGTTAGATATTTCAAACTATGAAATCTGTTAGATCAAATAGCCCAAGTTTGAAATATCAGGAGTTTCCACCATTAGGTTGCCAAGATATAAGGATTAGAAAATTTGAGTTTGTGGCAAAAATTCCTTTTATAGTTGAAATCAGTTGAAATTTCATCTTCTCAGGTAATGGGGATATAGTAGATATAGTAGATTTCTAATATCTAAAACTATGAAAAATTCTAAAAATTGTCTCAGCTTGAGCGAGTGTTTAGTTCATTAAATTAAATAATAGGAATTTTAAAAAAATAAAAACCGAATGATGTTTTATAAGCATGTCTAAAATCTTGATCCAGTTTGGGATCAGATGTTTCTGTTTCTTTGTCCAGGACGGATTCACATATAGAAATAAGCACTGGTTATAAATGAAGCAAGCTTTAGTTTTTATGTTTGCTGACTAGTTGAGTGCTTTGCTAGATCATCATGGTGCTTAATCCCCCCTCCCTCCCTCTTACATTAATATCCCCCCCTCTATACCCCTTTACGTTACCCCCCCCCCCC